TTTTTTTTAAATTAAAGTATGCATGACACTGACATTATGCAATAAATCGTATTATGACTTCATGTATGCATATCAAAGATTATTGCAGGAGGATGGAAATAATTTGGTCTTGGGAGTCAGACAGCTCTGGGTAAATCTCAGCTCTTTCAATGTCCTGCATAGACTCAGGGAAATCCTAGTTGACATGTCTGTAAACTGTGGAAGGAATTGGTGTAGAGAGTAAATATGGTACATGTTAGCCACCTAGCAGTGAAACTGGCACATAGTGGGTGTTTCATAAATGGTACTTATTGTTAAGACTATCTTGGATACAACTGAGATATTTTGTGAACATAAGTTTGGGGAAGTATCAGAAATACATTGAGACCTGAGTCCAGAGGGGAAACACCCATTGTGAGTGTCTGGGACTTCAGAAAAAGGATTTACTCTTCTAGTCATAAGCCAGTCATTTAATAAATTATTGCTCTTTTGAACTAAATGGTACCTTTGTGGTTTCAAGGAGTTAATGTGCCTTCTAGAGTCTTTAACTTGCTCTCAGGGAATTACTTACAGCCCAGGAGGCTCCAGTCATTTTGGAATATTGAGAGCTCAAGTGGCAGAGTCAGATTTTGATCTGTAATGTTTTATCATCTTCCCCTTTGTACTTTTGCAGGCAAAACCTCTCAGTGGAAGAATTCCATTCTTCCTGTCTTGTTGTTGGGTTCCAAATGCACCAATCCATCATCTTAACACTTTTTACCATAGAGCTGATTTCAGTAAAAGGTTGTGTGAAGGTAAATTGCACTAAAGAGCATTTTGTGTCTATACAAGTCCAGTCCCTGCTTGGGGCTTTTGCACTTGCTGTTTTTCTGCCAGGAAGTTTCCAGCTTTCTCTGCTCCTGGGCAGCTCCTACTGGGATCTTAGCATAGAAGTTGCTTTCTCAGAGCAGTCGCCACACACTCTCCAGGACTCCTTCTCTCCAGGTGTCTTTTCTGTGTTTCCCACTTTCCTAACAACATAAATTTTTTTCTACATACAGTTGTCACAATGTAATCAATTATGTAATTAAACAATTTAATGTTTGTCTCTTCTACTACTCTGAATTTTGAAAGAGTGAGGACAGCAGTCTCATCTTGCTTTACATCATTATCTTTTGTACAGCACACATAATATGTGTGAACCTGGCCCAGAATAGGTGCAAAGTAAATATTTTGCACGAATGAATTAATACATGAAGTACCATAGGGTAATTTATCCGTTAATGTAGTCCTCTGTATACAAAAGAAAACAATATGAATCAGAAGGAGTCCCTTCATTTTTGCCCAAGGTCACACATCTAGTATGAAAAAGGGAAGACTGAGAGCAGGGGCACACCTCGGACCCAGCACTCCCATTTCCCAGCTCGCTATAAGAAGCTGGTCACTGCCTTTGAGGAGGATTGCTTGATACCTCTGATCCAGAGGAAGGAGGCTTGGGTGGAAGTAAAGTGTGACAATCAGCCTCCTAGCACAATCGCCCAGTTTCAGTTGGTTTGTTTCCCGACCTTATTGCTATTTAAATACAGTCTTGATTATTTTGTTTGCTTTGGAGGGAGAAAAAAAGATTCACAGAAGGTATAAAATTGCATATTATTTACCCCAGAGAAGAGACTGTCCCCCTAGTAAATATGCAGTGAAGCATTTTTATTTGTATTTGTGTTTTTAAAGATGTTTAAAGAGACCCAGTAGACCGTACTATCTCCTTTCAGAGTTGGTGCCATCTATTGATTAAATATGCATTTATACATTTCTTCTTCTACTTTTTCCAAAATAAAAGAGACATATGTTTTAATCATATAAATAGGCCTAACAGAATTGATCAGTGAAAATGCATATTTATGTTTTCTTAAGAAAGATTTTATTAGGCCTATACATTAAAAAAATAAGGTATTTTCTAATATACATTGAGGTTTGTTAAATGTGAATTTAATTAGGAGGTTCTGGGTATGTGTATGTAGATGCCTGTGTGTGTGTGTGTGTGTGTGTGTGTGTGTGTGTGTGTATGCGCGTGCGCACGCACACCTTAGGAAAGAGATTGTTAGAATAATGGGTATTTTAAAAACAAAAATATAGCTGACAGGCAATAGTGGAAAAAAACACAAACTTTGGAGTAAGAAAGACGTAGGCCTCTCTTTCACTTATTAGACTTGGAGGAGAGACTTGGGACTTTTCACGTCGCTCTATTTCTTTATCTGTAAAATGAGCTAGTAATAAAGTTGCAGTGAGAATTAAAAGATAACACCCATGAAGTTTTTAGGACTATGACTTGACCCATAAAGATTTGCTCCTGTCTCTCCATTGTCTACTGAGGGGTGGCTGCGGGGGGGTTAGGAGCTGGGGGCACGTTCCTCAGTGTTCTCAGGTGGTTAGTGCAGTAGGCACCTAGAGCGTTCACAGGATGAGGCAGTAAATGCACCCAGGAGCTCTGATCTCTCTAGCTTGCCAAATGCCTCTCCTTCTCTCTCTCCTTTGTGGTTAATAGCACCGTTGGTGAAGGCAGGTCTGGCCTCCAACCCAGGCTCCACAGCTGAACAGCTCCCAAATCTTTAGGAAGTTATTAAAACTCTGCACTCAAGTTTTTCTCTCTGTGCTATTTGGATGGTAATGCCGACTTCACTGGTTTGTTGAGAAGATAAACAGGGGATACATAAGGACAATAATAGATTAACTGGCACATGGATATTCAATAAAATGGTAGTGTTCAATATTATAATTTCCTTTTAGGGAGGCATTTACTTTGGAAACACAAAAACCTGGGTTTCTATTTTGGCTATTTCACTAACTAGCTGTGACCCTGGATAAATTACACAATCCCTCTGAATCTCAGTTTCTTCGTCGTTCCAAAAAGCACTATTACACCTTCTTAAAGGACAAGGCTAGGGATTAAATGTGATATTTTAAAAAACCTGAGCCCACAGGGGGCAAATACGTGCTGTCTATCATTTGCATGATGCCATCATAGTCACCAGGTCCTCCTAACTCTTTTGTGTTTCACACATAGCCCCCTTCTTTTCCACTTTCGCTGCTGCCGCCCAGTTCCAGAATCTATCAGACCTGAACCATGCCTGCTAACAAGTATGCTTGCCTCAATCCATCCTGTGCACTTCACCCAGATTAATTTCCATAAATTAACTCCCTCTCATTCATAGCACTCCCCTGCTCAAAAAGAAATTAACTTTTCCAGCAGCATTAGGGAATTTCTAAATCATTGGTCTAGGATTCAAGGTCTTTCTCTCTGTATCCCATCAACTCCGCTAATTCCTCTCCCAGCCTTTCTTTATAGGGTTCCCACCTGTGTCTACTTAGTTCTCCTCTTTAAGACACCCATCTCCTTTTGTGACCCTGATCCCTCCATCCACTTCAAGCTAGTTGTGTTCTCCAGCAGATTCAGACACTGATAGTAATTTTTCTGAACTTCTGTAGGACTCCAGCATTGTTCAAAGGATTCAGGTATCAATTTACTTGTTAATGACATGTTTGCAATGATTGGTTCTACAAATTTGACTCTAATACTTACTATGTATGTATCCTATTATCTTTTATGTCCATTCGCAAATTCACAAATGCTAATTTTTGGTTGGTCTCTTCAAATATATCCTATGCCCTTTGCAAACAAGGACAAATTATACTCTTCATATTCCCAACCTTGAAAAAAAAAGACTTCATATTAAGTAGGTACTTCATAAGTGTCAGGGGATAATACTAACCTCGTGTGTTTTCTATTTGACTGCTGAAGTTTTCTGACTTATTCATAAGGAGGGAAGTAATCAGTTGTTTTACTTCTTTAAAAGCAACTGGGCTTTATTTTGTAGAAAGAAAGGAGATTAGCTAGACCCAAAGAACACATTGGCAATTTGTTGCTTAATAGCAACTGTGTGCATTTTGCAGTAGGACAGACCTGGGTTTAAATCCTGACTCTCATTAGCTGTGTGACTTTAGCAAGTCACTGAATCTCTCTCAACTTCAGTTCTCAGCCTATAAAAAACCAGGGGCAATAATGCCTGTGAGGCAGAACTCTGGTGAGGATTAACTAAAATAATACATGTGGATACTCATCCCATAGCCGGTATTTGGGAAAACGTTGGGAACTGCAGAGAAGGGGGCAGGGAGAATGCTCTTACATGGAGCGTCACTCACAGATCTCAAGATGTGCACACATGGAGCTGGAAGGAATCCAAGCCACTTAGGGTCTTAGGACAGAAACTGCCTGCCCAGTCCCTTGTGTAATATGTAATTAGTGCTATTCTTACCACAGATCCTCCAAGTTCAGTGGTGGCAATTCTCAGCAAGCAAGGTGTGCCTCTCCAAAGCATACTTCAGAGAGGGCAGCAGGCCTTTTTAAAGCTAGGGAAAATACTGAGTTTGGTCACACTGAGAGACACTGCTTATGTAAACTGTCATTCCAGAGGAAAGGAAAGAAAGCCAGAAAGCCACAGGTATTCTTCTGTGGCCTTCTCATCTTGAAGAGTTTCAATGACTTCAGCAAGTTTCCACCTCCTTGAAATCTAATCTGAATACATCCCTGTCTATGCTGTACTCGTGGCAATTGTTTGGACTTCTGTAGCATTTTGTCTTGGTAAAGTTTCAGAATACTTTAATAGTGAAGAACTGGCCAATTCTCCATGCATGATTGGTGAAAAAACTGTAACATGTCCATCTTCCCGCTGGGCATGCCTCCAAGTTCATAAAAGATAATAGGATATATACATAGTAAGTATTAGAGTCAAATTTTGTAGAGCCAATCGTTGAAAACATGTCATTAACAAGTAAATTGATACCCGAATCCTTTGAACAAACCTGGAGTCCTACAGAAGTTCATAAGAATCACTACCAGTGTCTCTTAATGACTGAAAGCGGGAGTGGGGGCAGATTTCCATGTCTGAGCTCTTCCTGTGGGTTGCAGTTCCTGCTGCATCCCTGCCTGGAGACGAGGAAGAAGGAAGAATGATAAGGAATTGGCATGGGCATTAGTCACATTTCTGCCAAGAAGCAACCTTCCTTTCTTGATGCGCCCTGAGCCTTACTAGGGTAAGGTCCAAACCAGCAGTACCAGGCCCTCCCCACTGCCCACCAAGGAGCTCGTGTGTGCCCACGTGAGCCCCACACTGGCATACTCACACAGATACCAGTAGGCTCCCGGTGAGGGGGTGAGCAGGGGCAGGCTCCAATCCCCCGTGGAGTCAAACCTCCCAAACAGGAAAGTCTCCTTGTGTCGCTCAGGAGAGTGGAGCCAATGCGTGCCTTGGAGGAGGTCTGCTTTGAGCCCTGTGCAGATTGGTGCTGATGATTCTTACCAGTTGTGTGTATGTGCAAGAAAAAAAATCAGAGACGCTGCCTGCCTGCTCCCATCTCTCGCGCGCTCTCTCTCTCTTCTGCTCTCTCCCTCCCTTTGCAAACATTGGATTTAAACCTGCTCAGAATTCAGCACAGAGGAAGGCAGCAGCGGTAGCAGCAGCAGAAGCAGTAGCAAGCCCGGCAGCCGTGAGCACCGCAGCGTCGAGATGTACCAGCCCGCCTACTGGGTCGTCTTCTCCGCGACAACTGCCCTGCTCTTCATCCCAGGTACTGGTGAAGGGTGTTTTCTCTTCCTGGGGTGATTGTGCGATGTGAGAGCAGAAGAGGAAGGGGAAGAAGGAGAGGCCAGAAGGAAGGGGTGAGGAGAGGGAGTGTGAGATGCATATGAGTAAAAGAGGTAGGCTTGCTGTGTGCACACACACACGCTCGCTCGCTCACAGGCACGCAGATGCTTCCAGCACGGGATTTGCTCTCTATTCCGCGATCGGTGAGCTGGGTTCGAGATCTGCACCGTGCTGTGAGGCACTGCTGTTTCGGTGAAAGGTACCAACTGGCGTTAACCAGTTGTGGTCCTAGGGATAGAAGAGGGGTTTAAACTCCCAGCTGTAAATCCCTCGTGCTGCCCGTGTTGGGACCTGAAGGATGAATGGGATAGCCTTGTTTCTGTCAGTCGTGGTCTCCCTCTGTTTCTGAATCAGTTTGGATCTCTGCATTACCCTGTCTCTCTCCTGTCTCTTTTCTCTCTCTCCCTCCTCTCCCTATCTCCTCTCTCCCTCCCTTCCTTCAGAACCTCTCCCTACTTACTCCCACTGGAGCTCCTTTCTGGCCCCATTCCTTATCCTCTGCTCATATATTTCTTGTCTTAACACAGTCCTTCTACCAAGTCCTGTCCTTTCTTTATCCTTCCATCAAATGGGCAGATTATGCCCTCAAAATTCAGAATTCTCTCAGTTTCTCCCTCCTACTCCTCTATATCAGAAATGTGAATTTCCCTTGATGGAATTTGGAATGTCCCCACTGAGGGAAGGTGGGAATTCAGATTTATCTCATTTTCCTCAGCCCTCTCCCTACCTTGTCTAATGATTTAAATGTGATCCTACCTCTCACAGCAGTTACTTGTTTGGGGAAAACAAATCTGCAGTGACACAGGTAAGATGCTGCAATCCTACCAAAATAAGCTTAGTAGAAACGTTGCAAAACCAAGGCGTCTTAACAGATTTGATAATTGCACAGGAGTCTTTGCAAGCAGACAACTGAATGCCCGCAGGCATCTTTCAAACAATGCTGAAGGGGCCAGGTTCTGCTTGCCAAGGTTTTAGGCATCATCAAAGGGTCTGTGGGGTTTCCATACTAAACCCTGGTGCCATCAGGATTTCTTTTTTTTCCTTTCAAATTGAGATACATGCATTAGGTTAAAAATTAGTGTAAACCTAAATTCCCACACGCATTCACACAGCTATGAATGCTAAGATTTTTAAACCTTACATAGTTTTATGGGTAAAACACACAATTTTTCATTTTTATATTCAGAATTACTTGGTAAGCTTTTGTGTGTGGGGGTTTGCTTTTGTTTTTAAGAACACAATTCTCTTAAGTGTTCTTAAGCTGCCAAAGTGAAATCAGAAAGAAGAGAGGACCAACTAGAAAAAGAAATCCAGCCTACAACGTTTTAGAACACCTTTTGAAGACTGCACTTTTTTCAAGCAGAGATGGGCTCTGCATAACTCCGTTCCCTGGGGTGTGTTTAGGCTGAGAAGTTCAGAGTGGGGGGTTGTCATTGTTGTTGTTCTTCCAAATTTCAGCAGCATCCTAGGTTTCCGCCAGGTCGGTTGGGCTCAGCGGGGAAGGCAGTGTAGGCAGCACACTCAGTACCTGCCTGAGCCTGGTAGAGGGAGCCAGGTGGGTGCTACCGGCCCATCGCTGGAGAACACAAACTTTCCTGCATATGCAAGTCTGACTGTATTGTAGCTCCTGGGGGCCTCCTCACACCCAGCTTCCCCTCCTCCCACTGTGTTGGAGCAAAGACCAGGATCCTCACCCCCAAGGGATCCTGGCTATGTGGATGCGCCCCTTATGGCAGAAACCAGAACATTACATGTCAGAAAGGAAAAGAGGGTGAGCCCCAGCTGGCTGAAGCTGCATTGCAGTGCACCCCGAAGGAGTCAGGAGCTAGGGTGAGACCTCCCTTTATGGGTCCCATGGTACCCTAAAACACAGTGCCACTGCATTGGTGGGGAGCAGGCAGACCTTGCTTTCAAGAGAGGCACCTATATGTAGAGCTGGCTGTGTGAAAGGGGAAGGAACCTTGGCGTCCTGAGCACCTGAGTCTGAACTTCCTGAGGGTTGGATGACATGATTGTTCCCTGAATCTTCTGGGAAGGGCAGGACACAGATGTCAGCTCAGTGTCCTATCTTTGTATAGTCTCTTATCTGCTTGGAGGGCTGCTCTTTATGCTGATTGTGTTAGGAACTAGGCACAAGAAATAGAGAACAGGGAGGAGGAAAAGTTAGCTTTAAAATGTGCAAGTGGTACTAAAGAAAACATTATATCTCCAGGGTTTCTGTAGGAAACCTGGCTGCATCTGAAAGTTTTGATGAGTTGCCATGGCTCACTTGTGACTTCTTTTTCTCATTTCTTTCACTTGCTCTGTTATATCTTCAGACTTTTAAAAAAAATTTTTCAATGGTGATGCTTTTCTCCCAAAGGGATTAATACCAGCTCGTTAGCCATTTATGTTCCCTGCATCTAAAGATGAAGGGCTAATGTAATAGTGAAACCTTGACCTGGCTAGACCTCAATGCCATTTTTATTCTGCTTCTATTTCTTGGTAAAACATGTTTCCATCCCAAAATCATTTTAAGGCTAATGCTGTTGTTGCCTGGTACATTCTAGGGGAAGACTGATGGCCACAAATTGCTTTTCTAGGCAGAATCTCTGGGATGGCAAAGACGGTCACAAGTGAAGACTGTGATAAGCCTGCACCTAATACAGGGCAGAGAACTAAGGTTTCCAATTTAATTGTCATGCTACAGGCACAGTCCTGAGATGACAGTACCACTGGTGGGTATAAGTTTGTCATCTTAGGTTGGAGGGGAGATAAGGTCAAGCTAGGAACCTTTTTGACCTTGGGTCGGGGCTTGGTGGGAAGATTAATAGGAGGGGAAGCAGAAAATGAAGGCTGCTAGACATTTGCATCAGAATCACCTAGAGGAGGAAGACAGCTTCAAATTCCTAGACTCCAGTAATCTTCCTGCGTTAGCCTCCTGAGTAACTGGAATTACAGTCCCATGCCACCACACCCGGATGATTTTTTAAATATTTTGTGTACAGATGAGGTCTCACTATGATGCCCAAGCTGGTCTCAAACTCCTAGACTCAAGCAATCCTCCAGCCTCAACCACCCAAAGTGCTGGGATAACATACCTGGCCTGGAAGCACTTTTTAACCAGCACCCCAGGTCCTTCTGATGACTTCCAGACCATGTTGTCTATCATTAAAAACCAGCGTCCATAGCCTGCAACTTAGATTCAAATCCTATCTTTGGCCTGTCTTTTATCTCCTCTAGCTCTGAGAAATGGTACTATGGCAACGCGGGTGGGGAGAGGTGGGGTCAGGGAGGTGTTGTTGTCTTGAGTAGGCAAGGCTCAGTTCCTGAAGACCAGTCTGACTAGGGGGCCAGTTCACTGATGTGAGGATTACCAACCTGGAGGGCTTCTTTTCTCAAATTCAGACCATGACTTCTTGTTTGTCTCCTTCTCCTTGGCCCATTCTGTATGTGTCTACTGTTCTGTGACTCTAAGCAGGGAAGTTAGCTGTGAGGAGTCCCCATCTACCTAACCTGGACTGAGTGGTGTCCTTGGCACAGATCTGTGAGCTAGATTCTTGTCCACAGCTTCATTACCTGCACCTTAAATGGGTTTTGCTATTTAGGATCAGAAAACCCTAGGCTTGGATAGAAAACTCCCTGAGGTTTAAGATTCTTTCTTCCCCAGCACACACATTTCTGGAAAGTCCCCAGATCTTGAGTTTTTGGGTTGGGATGTTTGGCTTTGGGGTAAGACCTGGGGGAGGGCTCCATAGCCAAGTTCTGATTAACCCCTTTCCCACCTCTGATCCCCTCACCGGCATAGTGTTGAGGAGCTTGCTAAAAGTGCCTGGGGTGTTCAAGGGATCAATGAGAATCAAATCCCCAGACTCATGAAGGGATAGGAGCAAGGACTGAACACCTGGTCCTGATCAAGACCTCATCCTCCTTTAGCCAATGATAGACTCATGCCCCCTCTCCCCAAGATGTCGTATGGCCCTCTAGCCTTTAAAAATGATTGACATGTTAATAAGGTCAGACCACATCCTGTCTGCACTCAGCATTGCCCAGTGGCAATAACAGGCACTAAGACAGGTGTCGGCTGCCTCATAAAGACAGCTTTTTCAGTAGCCTGGAGCTGGGCAGCGTTGCTCAACCTGAGATTAATCAGAGAGCCTGAATGGCTTGAGATTCTCCTGTGCTGCTTCAGTCCTGTCTGCCTTCATGCTTTCTCTCATTCTTAGCAGCCTTGGCCACATCCCTATAACCTAGAAAATTACAGAAGGAGATTCCTTAAACAGTTGCCACTTGCCTGCATTTGTTGTCTAGCAGTTCTGAGTCTGGATTTGCCACATCAACGACTGGGTACTACTCCTGGTAGTTAGTGCCTCAAACCTCTGTCCGAGCTTCCCGGGGCCAGTGTACTTCCCATGAGGCAGGACTCCATCCAAACCTCTGATGATGGTGAAAGCTGAGAAGTGAGACTCTTTGGTTCATTGTTTTTTGAGGCTCATTTGGTTGGCTCAAGGCATTCTCTAAACCTCAGTTTACCATTCTGAAGAATGGGTTCTAGGTATATATGCTTCTTGTTTCCAACTGGACAGAGTAGTCAGAAACCTCGGTTAGATGATAACAAGGTGAACATTTCTGAGTTATAAAATGTGCATTCTGGTCTCCTAAAAATAGGGCAAAGAGAGAAACCTGCCCACACACAGAAGAAAGGGAGGGGACATTCCTTTTTTGTTGAAGAAGGAAGACGATAAGGCAAAGCCATACCAACTCATATTATGTCTTTGTCACGGAGATGAAAATTAGCGAAACACTAGCCACCCATTCATTTACTCAACAAGACTTTATATAGGTTCTGATTAAGCAAAATGCCTTAAAAACCAGAAATCCAGTAGAACAGGAAATTGTTAGCTTTTCTTTCTTTTTGACACCTGCATAAAATATGCCTTCTGA